CTATCAGCTGACGCCAACAGGCAGGAACATAGAACCATAACACCTCTATCAGCTGATCCAACAGGCAGGAACATAGAACCATAACACCTCTATCAGCTGATCCAACAGGCAGGAACATAGAACCATAACACCTCTATCAGCTGACTCCAACAGGCAGGAACATAGAACCATAACACCTCTATCAGCTGACTCCAACAGGCAGGAACATAGAACCATAACACCTCTATCAGCTGACGCAAACAGGCAGGAACATAGAACCATAACACCTCTATCAGCTGATCCAACAGGCAGGAACATAGAACCATAACACATCTATCAGCTGATCCAACAGGCAGAAACATAGAACCATAACACCTCTATCAGCTGATCCAACAGGCAGGAACATAGAACCATAACACCTCTATCAGCTGATCCAACAGGCAGGAACATAGAACCATAACACCTCTATCAGCTGACTCCAACAGGCAGGAACATAGAACCATAACACCTCTATCAGCTGATCCAACAGGCAGGAACATAGAACCATAACACCTCTATCAGCTGATCCAACAGGCAGGAACAGGGAGACAGAACACTGAGAGCACAGCAGCCAAGGTTACGAGGTGCGTGTGCTCAGTCAGGACAGTTTGAACTGATCAACTGGGTCAAAGTTATGGGCCTTGGAAAATATTCCACAACAACCATGGCCTTTGACCCCTAACCCATCACAGTCCCCCTGCTTCCACTCCTACTGTTCCTCCTAGTATTATTAGTAATACTACTTTATTATTTGCCCCTCTTGTTCCCCGTGTAAAGCGGCATTGGGTCCCTTGAAAGGCGCTATTCAAATTGAATCCATTATTATTATTAACATTAATATTATAGCACAGTTTGATTAATTGATGGACAGGTCATATTTCTCTACTTTCTCCCTCCTTCCAGATTGCTTTTTTGTGAATTGATTTATGTTTTATGATATTTTGTGTATTTTACACTCTTTGTTTTATTTTTTCCGTTAAGTTTCTGGCTTTTGGTCTACTTCATTCCCTTTGTGTTCTGTTTTCTATTGTTAACCATTTTCTAACTGTAACTAAATGTGCTCTATTAATTCAGTTTCTTATTATTAAGATTATAGCACAGTTTGATTGATTGATTGACATCTCACTGTTCTCCCTCCTCTCAGATGGAGTGGTGGTCCCTCTCTCCTGAGGACTCAGAGCCCAAACTGCTCCTGGATCAGGGCTCTCTCTCCAGCCACCGGCAGCACGGAGACGGTTCCTACTCCCTGTCCTCTCACCTGTCTGTCCCCTCCAGCGTCTCCCCGGGGACCAGGCTCACCTGCAGGGTGTCCCACCAGGCCCTGGACGCCCCTGTGTCTCTCACTGTTGTGGTAGAAAGTCCAACACAAGGTAATAATGTGTGGCTGTTGCTGTGATGTTGTTTAAAGTTAACAAGAGAAACTTTGACAGAAGCCGTAATGTTTCAGAAACCCTCTTGTTTTACAGCAGCAGGGTTTAAGACACCCTGGTTCTCAACTACAGTTTTTCACTTGACCATCAGTACATTTCCGTTTAAATGACACAAAACCAATATCATTTTCCAAACCTCCATGTTAACTTACCCATATTTAAAACAATTTAGCAATTTGGCATCAACAACCTTGTCTTATCTAATATAAGTTTAAAATATTATATAAAAATACAATAAATGTGTCATGATCATAGCTGTATTTTTTGTAATAGCTTCAATGTCATGTGACCCAGTGACTCCAAATCCACAGCAGATAATATTACAAGTAGGGCAAAAACACATGGAGACAATTAGAAGTTTAATTCAACTTTTCCTTGATTTAAATATGATCAAATATAACACACCTCCTTTTTGGGGAATTTTAAGTGTTTTTATGACTAATGGTCATTTTTATTTGTCCTACCCCAACCCTCCCTTATATTGTAAAGCCACTTTGATTCCTAGAAAAGCGCTATTAAAATATGATGTATTATTATTGCATTGTAGTCCACTCTATATTTAATCAGAAAGTGTATCATCAAATATGTTATGTCTTGAGAGTTGCTTTACATTACATACTGTGTATATCTTCTCTCTTCAGGCTCCTACTGGTGGGTCCTGGGTTTCCTGATCGTCAGCGTGCTGTTCTTCCACCAGGTCATGTCATAAATAAGGATTTATTCTAACCCCCTGATCCCACCGGAAGCGTCTGCGCTGCGCTGCGGCTGTGCCGCGCTGCGACGCGCTGCGACCTCCTCCTGCGACCTCCTCCTGCGACCTCCTCCTGCGACCTCCTCCTGCGTCATAACCCTGCGTCATAACCCTGCGTCATAACCCTGCGTCATATCCCACCAGGCGCGTTTCAAAACGTTGCAGAAGCGGAGCGTCGTGTGTGCAGCCTCGCAGTTGTTGGATGAACGTTCCACTTCCTGCCCGCGCTGCGCTGCGCCGCGTCAAAAATAGGATTCATCCTATATTTTAGAAATTCCTTGCGGCGAGGAGCTTCTGGGACGCTTCGAAGCCGCGGCGCAGCGTGGCTCAGCGGGTCTGGTGGAATAGCACCCATTGACTAGAGTGGCCGCGATCGCTAAAAACGCAGCAGCCGCAGCGCAGCGCAGCGCAGACGCTCCTGGTGGGATTAGGGGGTAATAGATAATCCTGACTTTAAACTGAGCCCAGAGATATTTCCTGTTGTGAGTCTGTAAGTTATTATTAATGTTATAAGAAGATATCACTGGTTCTTTCCACTCGAGGGGTTAGACTTTCTTTTTGGATATAGTATTGCTGTTCTTGCACTATTTCTTTTTAACCCTCCTATTGTCTTCGTTTCCCCCTTACTTTGGTGTTCGCGGTCAAATTTGACCGGTCCTGTTTTAACTGCTATTACATTAACACAAAACCATTAATCATCACCAAATTTCATTTAACACCCTTTCAAACTGTACATATTGTATCAGACTACTGGTATACATGAAAATAGACACTGAACATGTATTGCGTGTGCCAGGTGTGATTCACATGGGGGGGTGGGCACATAAGAGGGGGGGACACATCTAGAGTATATGTGTGTGTGTGTGTTTTATCTGATCCGATCCGGATATTTACTAATTCCTTTTCTTTATGGCGGTCATTTTTGACCGGGAACACCATGGTTGTTACAAAGTTGACTAAATCATCCAAAATGCAATGAAAGTGGTGATCCGCAATTGTATATGTTCAAATGTCTACTGTGAAGGATATCATGAAGCCTTAATGCAATCGAATGTAAAACAACAAAGTTATGATTGATGAAAGTAGTAAATCGGTCAGATTTGACGCGAAGACAACAGGAGGGTTAATTTGGTACTTGTATTTGTTTGTTGTCTTTTATGTTATGGCTTTTTTTTGTGCTTGATTTTCCATTTTGATTCTCTTTTTGTAATTGACTTTTCACAATGAAGGATTATGTGACTGAACCAGATTGATTGAGGTGTTTGACGTGATCATCTTCAGTACATTTCTGTAAGCTTTGTAAGAAAGCTGGCATCACTAGGAGTATATATTGTGAAAGAAAACATTTTCCAACCAGGTCTAAAATGTCTCGATGTGTCAGGAGAATAAAACAAAGGTCAGTTGTGTTGATGATTTATTTATTGGCATCAGCAAAAGTGGTAAGCATGCATTTTGTTTTTCAGTTGCATCTTCTTACTGCATTTCCGAAACATGTTCTCTTATCTCCGTGTTAACAACCTGATGACATCGCTGCACAATATCATCAGACAACTAACTGCTACATTATGCATCTTCATTTAATCAACTCTCAAACTTAGCTTTTACTTTGATATCCCCCCATAAAACCTGAAGAGTTCATAAACACATGTTCAGGAGAATAATCTGACATGTGTGCTAATAATCAATCCATACGATACTACATGGTTTTTTACAGCTCACTATAGAAGCAGTTGTTTGCAGTCTGAGAATATAATTTTGAAAGTGAAATTAATCAAATGTTGGCAAACTCTTGAGCATCATTGCATAAGCATTGTTTTTTTAAGATCAGAAAGACATTTACACAGGTCGATAAAACCACTAACAAAATAAAATGTACAATCGGCAGTTAGGTTCAGAAATGGCAGATACACAGATCACACAAAAAGGCAAAACTATGGACACGGTTTGCCATGCAAGTTAGAAACAAACACCTCATGTTGCATTTCTGCAGGTGAGTCTGGTTTTTAAGTGAGTGGGGACGGGAGGTGGGTTTCTAAATCATGTCCTTTTCCCCGTTTCCCTGCTTTTTCAACATCAAACTAACTTATTATTTCAGCACAACTTGTAAAAAAGTTGGCTTTTGTACCATTTTTCTTTTTTTAAATGTGACGCTTCACATCCACCTGTCTATGGCTGTGTCCAAGTCAGAGTAAAGAGTCCTCCTTCAGTTCATGTGTACAGTAGATTGTCTGTTTTTGATAGTTGTGCATATCAATATGCCACTTAGCATAACAACAACACAATGCTCCCACCTGTGGTACTAACACCAAGGTCAAATGAAGCAGTTATGCAAGTCACTTATCAATAATTGCTTATGTGTCCAGAATTTGAGCTCCAGATGTTGCTTTTTCAAAAGAGGGAAACATTCTTTCTACTTTCCCCACTTTTTTCATTTGTCCTCTTATCATAATTACTGAATGTTGCAGAAAGGAAACCAATAAAACCAGCTATCTCCAAAAAACACTACTTGCTACAATACTTTGGATCACAAACAAACACACACACACACACACACACAACAAAAATGCTTTTCTAGTAAGTAGGGGTGATGGGAGCGTTGTGAGAGAAGCAGTCTGTTAGTATCAACTTACAAATGGAGGAACGTCCAAAAAAGGTAATATGAACAAGCTTTGGCGTATATCTGCAAACTGTTGTTCAATCTCCCTGCACACACTCACCGTCTGCACATGGTACACCCCCCCCTCATGGTACACCCACCCTCTCATGGTACACCCCCCCTCTCATGGTACACCCACCCCCTCTCATGGTACACCCCCCCTCTCATGGTACACCCCCCCTCTCACAGCCATGTTTTACAGGACTTAGCCTCGTGTGTCACAAGAATTTTCTCCCTCCCTTCTTCCTCTTTCCCTCCGCCTGCTGCGTCCTTCAATAATACATGAGGGGCAGAGACAGGACGCCAAAACAGTGGAAGAAAGCAACAAGGAGAGAGGGAGGGAGGGAGGGAAAGAGGGAGGGGGGGACACACCTATAAACTCTACTGTCGTCACGTATAAGTGCAAGATGGTTTGATGGAAGACTGTGAAGAGAGGAAGGATAAAAGGGGAGGAGTGGCGCTTGGGTATCTTTTTTTTCTGCTCTTTCCTCTCATATCGTTCTCAAGTCCATATCCATCTGTATTGATGGGCTGAGCTCAGTAGAAGAAGTACACTGTGAGGAGGAGGAGGAGGAGGAGAGAGGAAGTCATTAGTCTAATGGACCTGGCAATACATCATTCATACATCAGAACAGGGAGACAGCTGAGCTCTCCTTATGTTGTGTTTACACTACAGGTTTGTTTTTAGTAAAGAACCGCTAAATCTGTATTATAACCATTATTTACTGTCAAGAATAATGGTCGTGCAACCCTGACCCTGTACAATTAAAGAGGCCCTGCTATGCTTTTGGGGGTTTTCCCTTGCCTATAGGTTTTAGTGCATGTAAATGGTCTGCAAAGGCTAAAATCCCCACCTTGCCTGAATCACAATCCAACATATTGTACGAGAGACTAAGAGGCGGGCTAAGATGCTGCCCAATCACAACAGAGCCGGCCAGCTAACCAATCAGAGCAGACTGGGCTCTGGTTTCAGACAGAGGGTGAAAAGAGGTGCTTGATTAGCATACTAGGGCCCCTTTAACAATGTCTATACAGTATATTATCATATTAATTGTGTAACTAATACCGGATTACTTTCTGCTGCTGTGATGAAAAAATATTGTATAGCCGAACACGTGATTTGTTTAACAATAAACTCCAGTTGACCTTCCCCAATTCTTTTTTCTTTTTTTTTAAAAACTCATCGGCCACAGCCTCTGCAGGGGAGCATGGAAGTGATCATTTACAAAAAAAGTGATTTTTAAAATGATTATATAAATAGCTTAACTGTTCTTAACAATATGTCATAATTCATATTATTATTCATATTCTAATTATACATAATAAAATAAAAACTCAACGGGTCCAACAATATGAGTAATTGCCATTTACAGAATAACATTTTCAATATTATTCTTCCTCTGTTGCTGAGAGGAATCTATAACAAACACTTCATGGTAATCTGCTTTTTTAATATTCTTATCTGTTTATAAAAGCCCTACAAATCACCCTATCTGTCGATCAATACATCAAGCAGTATTTGTATTACAGTGAAGATGCTACTTACAGAATAGTATTCCAACCACAATGACTCCAATGATCCCCATCATGATCATCATCTGGAAGGAGAAACAAAGATTTAAGTGACGTTTTAAACCCTTAAGGGACATTTAAGACAGACTGTATCGAGTGCAATGCCTGCAGACAGAAACAACAAAACATAGAACGCACTGGAGTCTGTAGTGGAAACTCTACATGTGTTGCCTGAAGCGTCTGCTCCAGTTTCCACAGCAGCTCATTAACAGATCAGTGTGTGGAGAGCAGGGTCCTCCGAGCAGACCCTGTGTGTTCGCCTCAGCGCACCTCAGCATGACGGCTTTAAAAGACAAGAGCTGAGGATCTAATTCTCTCAAAAAGCCCTTTAAATTACCAAATATATAACAAAAAGACTTATCGTAAATGCAGACATGATTCACAATGATTTCAGTAAAAAGGAATCGCCCATAGACGTTACACATATGTATCATATTGATAATCATCTGTATGTAGACATGACCTCATTATATTGTTCATTTAATGTAATACTTACATTATGTATTCCTTTCATATGTGTCCTCTAGCCCTATCCTGTGTTCCCTTCCCTCTTATTGCTGCTATGACACCTGCATTTCCCGACAGGGATCAATAGAGGTTTTATTTAATGGAGCCGGCTAAGTGCCCACCTTGCAGTTCTTCCACCAGTACTTGTTCTTTAGCTTAGCTGCGCAGCTTTCAAACTGGGAGGCCCCGGCTTGGAGAGCATCCGCTCTGTCATCCAGCTCCGAGAGCTTCTGGTCCCTCTCCAAAACCTTGTCCACGTTCACGCGCATGATGTCCACCACCTGGCCCACAGCAGCGAGGATGAGACAGCATTTGGCAGCGGTTAGGGAAGAAGAGAGAGAGAGAGGGCGACAAGGGGGGTTATAGAATATATATAGGTTATTGTCCTATGCGCGATAGCTGCAGCGTAGTCGTTGGGAATAAACGTCAAACAGTGCTACATGTGTGCAATGGATACAAAAATGCAAGGATAAGTAAACGATGTGCATGTAAGATAGAAGGAAGGATGCTAAATATCATAAATGAGAGTTCATAAGTAGTTGCATCCATTTGCAAATAATTTTTAAAGAAGATTTGATAAATAAGAGCAACAACAAAGCGTGTTTTCCTGTGTGTCCCTCGTAGAGTAGCATTAACAGTAAGTCCACATGAGTGAGACAGCATTTGGCCGCGCTGAGGAGAGACGTGATGACAAGGGGGGTTATAGAAAAGCTTCACGATTCAAAGGTGTTACTGTCAAATGCACGATTAGCTACAGTGTACTCGTTGGGAATAAGAGTCCCAGGCACTTCTCACAGTGCGACATACAAAATACTTAAAACATGAAAGAAATAAGTGATGTAATAATGAAATAAATATGCAGGACTAAGTAAAACTATGTGCATGTAAGACAGCAGGAAGGACGCTAAATATAATAAATGAGTGTTAAGAAGTCGTTGCATCCATTTGCTAATTATTTTTGGCAAATATATAAAACATAAGAGCAGCAAGAAATCATTTTAGAAGCGCGGTACGTTAACAGTAAGTCCCCATGTTTCATGATTCAACTGCTTTTATTTTGATGCATTGAATGTAACATCTAGCTCTGGACTGGTTCAGCTCACCTCATCCACTTGGGTCTGTGTCTGCTGTAGCCTGCGGTTGCTGGAGGTGTTGGGGGGGGCGGGAGGTCCTCCGCCGGGGGCTCCATCGGGCCCGGGGGCTCCTGGAGCGGCAGCATCTGGGGCAGACCTGGGAGGAAGAGGAACGAGGAAGAGGAACTGACGTGAAGAGGTGTTCGGAGGATGGGTGCATGTATGAGAGCTTTATTGTAATCCAATACGGAAAGTGCTGAAAATAAGATTCTCGTGTAAAGAAGGACATGAGGAAATAGGCCTCTTTTTCTTGTCATAAAGGAGGGATGAAGCCACCACATACAAAAAGTAGGAAATTGCTTAGTATGCTTTGGAGTGGATAAGGGGGAGGAATGCAGATGCAATTGGATTAAAGAAAATATTGGCCACGGCTCCGAAGAAGAAAGAGAAAGTCCTGGTTTTATGATAGGGGAGAGAAAGGGGAAGCTCCTGTGATGGATTACAGACCAGAAAAGGAAAGCAGGAGTCAATTTTGGAAAAGGGGAAAGGGTTAAATGAGTGGGGGGAGAGGAGGGGGTTTCAAACTGAGCAATGCACAGTTTAAGATAAATCACATTTACTGCAGGGCTTAAAAATGATTTAGCAAAACATGCATTTCCTCATCCATTGACATGAGCAGGTGATGGTGGTGACCTCAAACCCTCTGACCCACAATATGCTGACTAACACATTTATTTCATTTTTAAATCTCTGTTTTATCTTTAAAGAAAAGTCAATGTAACTACACCTAAGGCTTCACGGTGGCAGCAGTCCACCCATGAATGCATCATTTAGTGCTGGTGTGACGGAACATTTCACTTGCGTCAGCAAAATCCATCAAGCTGAAAGAAATCACTTCAGTTTCCAACCCCCAGAAAAACATACACGAAAATAACCTGGTTTGAATATATATCTAAACAGAGTATGTTTAATAGGTATTTGTAATGATGCTATGGGGAAAAGAGCGCAGCAGAAAAGCCGCATTAATACTCACATCTTCTATGCAGCTGTTTGACTCACAGACAGGAGGAGAGGGAGGCTCTGAAGTACAACCCGAAAATAAGAAGCAAGAAAAAAACAGGAAAGATCACAGGGGAAAAAAACAAGACAAGGATTTCTAGGCACTGCTCCAAAGGAAAGTCAGAGAAATTCAGTTAGCGAAGCGAATAAAGTGCCGCGCGGACAGTAAACAGGCGGAGGGTCTTTGCGCAGTGATCTTCTAGCGATGCATTTATACTGCAAGTCGTCAGCAAAGTACCGCAATACACCGAGACACGTAAAGGGCCGGCGATAATTCACTGTGAGGCTGCACGGGCGAGCAGGAAGCGAAGTGGAGCGATGCGAGCTCAGGAGAAAAGTACTTCTAAATGATAATCCATGTAAGAGAGAGATCCGCGGAGGGTTATTATATTCCTGCAGAGCTGCATGCAGCTCCTCCGGTCCTGATGCTGAGAGGACGCGCTGATTGGCTGCTGGAGGTTGAGTTTCCTCTTCTCAAAGCTACTGGCAAAAACATGCAATTTCAAGATGAAAGGGGAAAAAGTCCAGTCATGTGAAATGAGTTGTCTTTCTGTTGGTGTCTGTCACCCCCTACCTCTCTCTCGCTTTCTCCGTGCGCCTTGTGTGAAGTGCGGTAGTTTGGGTTGTGTGTGTGTGCTGCAATAATGCGTCTCTCCTCCTGCCTTTCTACACTTGGACTCGTAACGACAGTGCGGTACCCCCCACCCCCCTCCCTTTCCTCCCTCACCTCCTCCCCCCTCCCTCGCTGCCTGCACACTTTGCAGTACTGCAGCTCTCTTTGTGGGGCAGGACGACACTGCGGTACAGTGGAGAAGCTCCTCAGCGCAGGGCCGTGTGCACACTGTAACACTGGGGAGGCCCTGACCTGTGCGATACAACCCGTGTGCAATATGTGCTGTTGACTAAAATAGGGTTTGTTTTGTTTTTAATGCATTCTGTATTGTATTATTTAGCTTGTTTTGTATGTCTGTGAAATGCTTTCGCTCGCAGGCTTCAATAAATAGTAAATTACTATTATCAAGTGAAAGCATTTGACAGAATTGAACGATCAATAAACACCTTCAGTCTTGCCTTATGCATTGGTGGCATGATTCAATCGTTCAATAAAACTTGATTTATATTGCAATTTTAATACAAGATAACACAAAGAGCTTCACAAACCAAAAATAAAACAATACTAAGAGTTTCGCATTTTATTTTTTTCAGTTTTTTATGAAGTTATAAACTTTGTGGTTTTATGGAGAACATATTACATGTTTTTCATTTATTTAGATACGATTTTTCATTGATATAAACTCTTCAGGAAAATGAAAAAAACATCACAGATGCACTTTGTGACAAAAACTAAATAGATAATCTTGTCTAAATAATTATTTGTACTTTGGATGCCTCAGAGAACATTTCAATTTTAGACGAGCGTTTACCAACCTTTTTAACTAGTGATCTTTTTCAAGAAATGATTTTTTCACAGGTACCAAATGTCTGAGTTACAACTAGGTTTTAGAGTATAACTAATCAGTCTTTCACGATAACTAAAAACAGGGTATATGCAGGAATCCTGAAGTCAAATGTAATACCTTTTAAGACCCTTCCCATACATTTGAAGACCTCATCGCCACTTTGAGTTGTAACCGGTTACCTTGGCGACACACTTTACCTCACATTGACTATATACAGTATGGATTGTCCTTCCTCCTTATCTTCCAACCATTTGGACGCAGACTTGCATTTCCCCATAACGATGTTGCTTAGCAACCGGCGTAAACGCACCTTCGCGCGCTATTAAGCAGTGAGCGTGCGATGTCCTGTTCAGATGACGTCAAACCCAACGGGATGCCATCAATAAACTCCACAGAATCACACTACACACCTACGCCATGATTACATTCAGGCACACTGTAGAATACAACCTCTCTGGACAATTTATATACTTATTGAAAACAAGCTACAAAATGTAATACCTTGGAAAATGCGTTTAATACTTTTTAACAGCCTTAATTTTTGCTAAATTGATTTATCAACTTTTAATACTTTTTAAGACACCCTGAAAAAAGCATAGATTTTGCAAAAGGGCACAGAAAAGCACAATTTGTATTGCAGATACATGTATTTTGTTAGGTCAAGACCAGTAAGACTCATCATTGAGATTCTTTATTATTGAAACGGTTCTGCTCATCCTGGCCTTTAACGTTGAGCCTTTTCTTTGATACTAGTGGCAGGAACATCGAGCTGATAGCAACATGTAGGAGCCATGAAACGTGTATAGTAACGTGTTTTGTTTTAATAGAAGATATTTGTTTGATCACTATTGATTGGTTGGCTTGGGTCACATGGATATGGGCGGCACTCATTCTAATCACCTGCGTGAGGTGTGTGTGTGGAAGAGAGGGTGACACAGGACTTTTTGTTGACCGCATGATTTACGATTGCTTTGCATATTTTTCATTAAACTACATTACAATTCAACAGAGTTTTGATGTCAGCAAGTACTCTTTTTTAGCGTGTCATATAATATCAAACAGGCCCGGCCTCAGCCTCTCAGCGACTTTGTTTGTTTCCTGCTGTCGCTATACAACATTTTTAGAAGGAAAACACACAAGGCTTCTTTTCCAGTCCATTATTAGACTTTTATATCATTTGTTTGTGACAGTCAGGAAAAAATATAGATTAACTGAAATACACAAATCTTCTCTTTACATGAAGAAAACATACAAAAAAATGGCAATACACAACACGTTTACAGCATGGCATCCCACAGCTGTTCTCCGTCAGTTCCTATTGGCTGCTCAGATGTTTTGGCCAGTAATGTTGGTTCAGGTTAACGGTATTTGCCGGTGCGGTTGTAGCGTCTGTAGAGTAAGCGGACCCTCTTCTCCAGTTGCAGTTTGTCCTCAGTCATCATTCGGTCTCCCACCATCCTCTTCTTCCTGGTGAGCCGCTGCAGCTCGTTGCCTCTGAAGGCCTTCACCCAGCACGGAGCGATGATCAGATCTTTGGGATGAGCTTTGAAGTCTCCTGCAGACACAGAGTGAGAAGATCAGAACATGTCAGCGAGGCACTGCCTGATGTGAGATGCTAAATCAGCCTTGCATTAAATGTTTATAAAGGTTATTTTTTTATAAAATGAATCCAAAGCAAATGTTCTGCAGTTGTTGGGAATTTAGTAAGATTGTATTGGAAGCACTCTCACTGCTTCTCAATTTACCTTTTTTTTTTAAATGTTTAAACTGAAATCATCACACATGCCCCTTTCACACCAACGCGGTTTCCGTGCTTGCGCTCTTCTGGTTCGGTTTTCTTTTCAGACCCCGTTTTGTTCACACAACTTTCATTTGCCGTACTCGCCAAAAACTGTTAGCTCAGGTTGATCCCGCCCCTTCCCCCGCCTCCGACGTAAGCGTGACGTGTGCGGTTCTAGCTAATCTTGACCGAAACATTTTTGGTGCTTGGTAAGCACCGGTTTTCGGAGCTTAGAGGCGGCTCCGCTGTGGTTTGAACAGGAAAAAACGGTGCTTATCAGGCTCTAGCTCCGAACCGGCCCTAGAACCGCGTTGGTGTGAAAGGGGCATGTGTGATGATTCAGTTACTAGACAACATTAAAAAAAAAAAAAAAAAAGGTAAATTGAGAAGCAGTGAGAGTGCTTCCAATACAATCTTACTAAATTCCCAACAACTGCAGAACATTTGCTTTGGTTATGGTTCTGCTACACTAACAATCAAATTCAACATTTGACTTATCACATGGAAAACACATCTGGATTTTTATATGCGTAGTTTGGCTGGGAAATATGGCAGAAATCTTCCATCACAATATAGTCTCAATTACAATAAACATCCTGATATATGTTTTCTGCTAATTCAATACATAAATAGTCTTTATGAAATAACCCCATGCTAATATGACAATATATATCGTCTCCTGGCCAGCCCTACCACATCCTAAGAGGTCAATTAAAAGCTGGCCAGTTTAACAAAAATAAGAAGAAAAAATATTAATTGCAATTAATAAAACCCAAACAATAAATAAAAACATTTAGCAGTCTTAGATTTACACTGGTTGAGGACACTTACCTAAGATGCCTATATTATCGTAGACTCCGTACATGCTCCTCTTCTCCGTCCACCGGTCCACCTTCTTCAGCGCGGGGATGGCATGCATCCTGATCTGACAGCATGCGCCTGAAAAAATTACATTGTTTCAAGTCAGTCTCTTAATGTGAACATACACTACACAAAGTGCCGCTATAAGTTTTTAGAGATTTGGGTACGGAGGAAAAGAGAGAGGGTTTTATTTCCTGACGCTGCGTGAGTTCCCTGACACACCGGGGACACATCTTTATGTAGAAAAGACATCAAAAAGTGCATTTTGCATGATAGGTCCCCTTTAACTTTTTAATTCTCCATCCGTCTGTCTCTGTTTATTCTTAATTGATCCTATTTTAACCACATTTGGTTGCATTTTTTTATTAAATATTCTGTACAAATAAAGTTATGTATGTTTTTATTAATAAGATTATTATTTACAAGTATGCACATTTATTACACTGCCCTTAGGTCACATGTGTCAAACTCAAGGACCGGGGGCCAAATCAGGCCTGTGGTGGATTTAATTTCGGCCCGCAGGATAATTTCTAATTACTATTAGATCTGGCCCGCCGGTATATTGCACGCACACCTTCACTCAATCCTGAGGGTCTCCTCAGCTCAGAGCCTGACCCCAAACATTGATGACCTTGCACCCAAGATGAGATGCCATCTGCTTGAACTAGCTTCACAGAGCAGCACACTGAGTTTAATGGATGTTTCCTTCTGCACTTCTTTCTCTTGAGACAACAGGGCATGTTTGGTTTGTTCTTTGAGGGGAATAGTTTTTTTGAAGCTGTTGTTGGCCTGTGGAAAAATGTACTCATAAGAAATGACTCTGCAGATAGAGCCATAAGAAATGAATGCAACTGATTATTTAATGTTGTTTTTATAGCCAATAGTTTAAGCTTTGTTAGTTCCAGGTTTAATATGTGCAATGAGTTCATTTCAATACGTTTTGCAATAAACATTGAACTCGACTAGTACCCATTTTTTTATTTTGGCCCACTGTGTATTTGAGTTTGACACCCCTGGCTTAGGTGATGTATAACGCTTTCCCATTTGTTTGTATTATTGCTTACTCTATGACTTGTTAATATCTACAAATATGGTTTATAACTTGAATTAATGGTGTTATTGTTTCTAGTTTTGGATCAATATGTGGTGTTTTTCTATCGCTATGACAAGACATAATGAGGGTAAAGCATCGTAATGAAAATAACTAACACATGCACGCACTGTAGGGATGCAAATTAATAGTTTTTCTGCAGTAAAGACACACAACCAACGTGTTTAAGTTATACATGAAACATTAGACTCACCTGTAGAGAAGGCCCTGGCAGTCTGACAGAAGGACGCTCCAGCCTTCAGTAACCCTGCCAGAACAGACATGTTTTCTACAAAAACACAATAGATATCAACTTCACATAAAAGGCATTCAAATTACTCAAGTAAAATGGCTATTCGGTTATATTTATTAATGTTTTAAACGTGTCTATCAAAGAAAAACTATGCCTTTTCAAGTACATTGACCCTTAGCATTAGCTTTATCTAGCATAGTTAGCTTCAACAAATGCATTATCTTGAACATTACCAGTTCCAATGTCCTGTGGCAATCTCCTGCCTCTTAAATATGTCGTTATTGTTCCAGAAAAGCATAAATGACAGCCGTATGTGGGGATATTACACTTAAAACATTTGTTATTGAAACGTCAACATGCTCTTAGTGGACGCTTCCATCTTACTCTGTGTCCCACAATGCACCGCGCCGGTACCGTAACATTGTTAGAGCACAGGTACCGTAAAGCTGTAAGAGAGGCGCGCAGACATTGGTTTGAGTCTCTGCGACTTGTTTAGCAGCCAGTAGAGGGAGGTATAGGAAGAGGAAATATTATACCGTTTATTATAGGGAAACAATAATGGAAAGACATCTCATACACTGGAATTTAAGTTTAAAAATATATCTTAAAGTCTTTAAAAAATCCTAAATATATCTAATTGACATCAGGCTAGGGCTTACCGGCCAGATTGCAAGTGTATCTGTTGAAGGGTCCACTTCAATTGGTTGTTGAAGTGTCTCAAATGAACTAGCTCAAGCTTACAAACTAAGATTCCTGTTGTGATTTTAGGAGGACATACTGTAGGTTCAATTCCCCTGAAAACGTTTTTGATTTGGAAGTCTACCACCTAAAGTGAAGAGTCAAAAGGCAAGGCAAGTTTATTTATATAGCACCTTTCAACACAAGGCAATTCAAAGTGCTTTACAAAAAATGAAAGACATTAAGAAAATGGCATTTAAAATCAGTCATTAAAAAGAAAAGATAATAAAATAAACATTAAAAGAAAAAATACATGAATAAAAGTTACAGTGCAGTGTAAGATATGAATAGTTCAATTAAAAGCAGTGGCAAAAAAAAAAGTCTTCAGCCTGGATTTAAAAGTAGTAAGAGTTGCAGCGGACCTGCAGGTTTCTGATTGTTTGTTCCAGATATCTGGAGCATAATAACTGAACGCTGCTTCTCCATGTTTAGTTCTGACTCTGGGGACAGAAAGCTGACCAGTCCCTGAAGACCTGAGAGATCTGGATGGTTCATAATTTAGCAGGAGGTCAGAAATGTATTTTGGGCATAAACCATTCAAAGCTTTATAAACCAGCAGCAGTATTTTTAAATCTATTCTTTGACACACAGGAAGCCAGTGTAAAGACTTCAGAACAGGAGTGATGTGATCCACTTTCTTAGTGTTAGTGAGGACTCGAGCAGCAGCATTCTGAATCAGCTGCAGCTTTCTAATAGATTTTTTAGTGAGACCTGTGAAGACACCATTGCAGTAGTCGAGTCTACTGAAGATAAAAGCATGGACAAGTTTTTCCAAATCCTGCTGTGACATTAGTCTTTTAATCCTAGATATATTCTTTAGGTGATAGTAGGCTGATTTAGTAACTGCTTTAATGTGACTGTTGAAACTCAGGTCAGAGTCCATGACTACACCTAGATTTCTGGCTTTATCTGTTGTTTTGAACATTGCAGACTGAAGCTCAGCGCTAACTTTTATACGTTCTGCCTTGGCTCCAAAAACCATTACCTCAGTTTTATCTTTGTTTAATTGGAGAAAGTTCTGACACATACAGTCATTGATTTGTTCAATGCACTTACTCAGTGTTTGAATTGGAGCATAGTCTCCTGGTGAAATTGTTACGTAAATGTGTGTGTCATCCGCATAGCTATGGTAACTTATTTTGTTGTTTTTCATTATCTGAGCCAGTGGTAGCATGTAGATGTTAAAGAGAAGAGGCCCCAAGATGGAGCCTTGAGGAACCCCACATGTCATATTTGTCAACTCAGATGTGTATTTACCTATAGAAACAAAGTTGTTTCTGTCCTTTAAGTAGGATTCAAACCAATTTAGAACTGTTTCCGAAAGTCCCACCCAGTTTTGTAGTTGGTCGAGTAATATGTTGTGGTCAACAGTGTCAAACGCAGCACTGAGATCTAACACTGAAGTTCTGCCACTGTCTGTGTTTAAGTGGATGTCCTTGAAGACCTTAAAAAGCTATATGAATCAGCAGATGTTAAAGAACAGATGGTAAGGGACCTGCTCTGGTCTTAAATGTTGATGTCCGTGACACAAATAGGAGTTTCAAAATCTCAATGAATCTACACAGAGTGTCAAAGGTTGAATAGCGTAACATGTAATGAACCTGCACAGGTGTTTTGAGAACATGGGTTAAATTCCCTGGCAAGTCCTTGAGTTTTTTTAATTCTATCACTCAAAGCAAATATTTAAAAGGTCTATGAGATTGCAGACTTGTGTCGTCTCAGATTAAATAGCTCAAGATGTTAGGTATGCTCATGAGGTCACATGTTCAATTTCCCAGTGAAGACACATGTTTTTAAAGTCCAACACCCAAAGTGATGTTGCAAAACTCTAGAAAACTGTGGAGTGTTGTCTCTGAGGAAATAGCTCAAACTGTCAAGTACATTCCCTGGTGTTTTCAGGACATGGGTTCAATTCCCTAGCCCAGTGGTTCCCAAACTTTTTCTGTCAGGCCCCCCCTTTGGAGAAAAAAAAAAGTCGGGCCCCCACAACACAAGTCAGGCTCAGTGGCGGCACCAGAGATTTATTTTGGGGGTGCTGTGGAGTAGCTTGACGTTTCATAGAGGGTGCTCAAACATTTAGGGTTTCCCATTAATGTACCGGGCGCTACAGTGGAATTTTCTACTGCTACAATCCCCACGCACACACAGTGTACCCGCGACTGTTACAAGAAGGCTCGATAATCAGCTCACGGCATATAGGTGTAAGCAGGGGTAAAGTGCTATTTTTATAGGTGGTGTGTGGACCTCACATAGGGGGGTCCGGGGGCAAGCTCCCCCGGGAAGATTTATTTTTAAATATTGAAGTTAAAAGCATCAATCTGGTGCACTTTGAGAGCAAAATGAAGAGACCTACGGATACCTCTCTCAACACCCATTTGAAACAGAACTGTAAACAGATTTACTTTTGCTTTATGGATATTTTACAAATCACCCTTTTAAACTTTATTCTTGTTTTACTGTCATATATTTCATAGCTGTTTTTCATTTATTCTCTTATTTTTTTACAACTATAATGATCATTTAAATGTGTGCCTCGGAAATAATTAATGGTGACCAAAACGTTTGAGACCCGTGTGAGAGTGTTTCACATGTTTATGTGAACGGTATTTCTGAATAATGTCCATAGCGGCCCCTCATACTTATAGTCCTATTGAAAATTGTTCGCTGAGTCAAAAGTGTAATGAGAATTTCACTTGCGTTGCATTTTACAATGAAATATCTGATGACTGACCTTTACTACGCTGTTTGTAAACATTAAAATAAATCATTTGAGACTCATATTTTTCTTTATGCAAGCAGTCAAAGTTTATATCTTGATAGGATTAAAGATTTTTGAAAGTTTTGTCTCTACTTTTCTTGGTATTTAGCCTTATTTTTATATTTTACTTTAATAGTACCAAATGCTGAATTTAAGTAGATTTTTCTACAAGAAAATAATTCTTAAATCTTATCTTTGTATCTAGACAAATGTACCTGTTTAAAGTGAAGCTGCACTGGATTTAAGATATGTTGCCTAACATAAAATTGAATTTTGGGACAAAAGCAGTAGAATATGCTGAATTCAAGCACATTTTCCTTATAATAAGATTATAATTCTTAAAGATAGATCTGTAGATCTTTTTAGGCTAGATATATTTACTTGTTTTAAGAAGGTATTGGCAAGTGCATTTTTCTTGTTCTGTTGGCAGATAATCTTTCTTATTTTAAGTAATATATTACTCATTTTATTATTTATTTTTCTTGTTTTTTTAGGCTTAGTATTTGCAGTGCACTGAGAAAACACTGAGAGAGTCATTTAGCTCACTGAGTCTCTCAGTCTGACAGGAGAGGACTCTCCTCCACTTTGTTGTTGAAAAAACTCGTTATGTCCGTTAGCGTAGCTCGCTAGCACCAGAAGCTAACAACAACGATCTCTGGTACCGGTGCGCTCTCTCTCGCGCACGCACACAAAATGGCTCGTTTCACACACACACACAGAGCCGAGCTTTAATGAAACACAGAGACCCAGACGTAATAGTACTGTATCATATTATTTATATTGCACGCACACCTTCACTCCATCCTAAGGGTTTCCTCAGCTCAGAGCCTGACCCCAAACATTGATGAACTTGCACCCAAGATGAGATGCCAAGTATCTGCTTGAACTAGCATCACAGAGCAGCAACCTGAGTTTAATGGATGTTTCCTTCTGCACTTCTTGAGACAACAGGGCATGTTTGGTTTGTTCTTTGAGGGAAATAGTTTTTTTGAAGCTGTTGTTGGCCTGTGGAGAAATGTAATCATAAGAAATGACTCTGCAGATAGAGCCATAAGAAATTAATGCAACTGATTATTTCATGTTTAATGTTGTTTTTATAGCCAATAATTTAAGCTTTGTTAGTTCCAGGTTTAATATGTGCAATGAGTTCATTTCAATAAGTTCTGCAATAAACATTGAACCAGTCCGGCCCACTGTGTATTTAAGTTTGACACCCCTGCCCTAGACAATCACTCACAATTGTAGTTCAACACCCAAAGTGAAGATTCAAAAGTTCTATGAAATGGTGGTCTAGTGTCTCCTATCAAATGGCTTAAGACCTTAGTCACCAGCTCTCGTGTTATGAGGACATGTGTTCAATTCCCTCGGAAACGTTGTGAATTTTGAAGTATAACTCTCAAAGGGAAGATTGAAAAGCTCCATTAGACTGCAGTCAGCAGATCAGATCAAATTAAGATGTTACAAACGGTCACAAGTGTTGCAAATAAATTAGTTTGTTTCCCCCAATCACTTAATTATGATGTCCATGACCCAATTTGAAATGTCAATATCACAATGAATCTGCAAAGAGTGCCAAAGGTTGAATTGCGTAACATGTAAGGAACCTGGTCTGGTCTTTTGAGGACATGGGTTCGATTCCCAAGTCAATTCACATGATTTTGAAATCAAGCAAATAATTAAAAGTGCTATGAGATTGCAGCCTTGTGTCTCAGATCAAATAGCTCAAGTTGTTAGGTATCTGCTCAGGTGTTATGAGCTCATAGGTTCAATTCCCCAGTAAAGACAAATGTTTTTGAAGTCCAACACCCAAAGGAATGTGTCAACACTCTAGAAAACTGTGCAGTGTTGTCCCCAGACAATCACTCTTTTCAACTTTTAAAGTTCAACACCCAAACTGAAGATTTCCAAATCCCTAACA